TACCTCATCCTTCTCAATTCTTTGTGTTCCCATCCCCCATCCCCTCCCTTCTACTCCTTACCTCCAAGTTTACCTAGGAGATCTTAACTATTATCTCTTCCTGGAGCCCTCCATATGTATCCCTCATAAGGTCCAGCTTTTTACCTAGCTTCTCTGGGGTTGTGGATTGTATCCTGGTTATCCTTTGCTTTATATCTAATATCTATTTATGAGTGAGTGCATATCATATTTGTCTTTCTGGGCCTGGGTTACCTCACTCAGGATGTTTTTTCCTAGTATCATCCATTTGCCTGAAAATCAAGATACCATTGATTTTTACCAGTGAGTAATATTCCATTGTATAAGTGCACCCCATTTTCTTTATCCATTCTTTAATTGAGGAGCATCTAGTTTGTTTCCAGGTTCTGGCTGTTACAAATAATGCTGCTATGAACATAGTTGAGCAAATGTCCTTGTGGTATGATTGGGCATCCTTTGGGCATATGCCCAAGAGTGGTATCGATACGCTGGGTCTTGAGGTAGATTGATTCCCAATTTTCTGAGAAATCACCATACTGATTTCCAAATTGGCTGTACAAGTTTACACTCCCACCAGGAAGGGGAGGATTGTTCCCCTTACTCCATATACTCTCCAGTATAAGGTGTCATGAGTGTTTTTGATCTTAGTCATTCTAACAGGTATAAAATTGTATCTCAGAGTCATTTCAATTTGCATTTCCCTGATGGTTAAGGAGGTTGAGCATTCCTTAAATGTCTTTTGGCCATTTCAGTTTCTTCTGTTGAGAATTCTCTGTTTAGATCTGTACCCATTTTTAAAATTGGATTATTTGGTATTTTGGTGTCTAGTTTCTTGATTTCTTTATATATTTTGTAGACCAGCCCCTGTCAGATGTGGAGTTGGTAAAGATCTTTTCTCATTCTGTAGGTTGTTGTAAGGTCTTTTGAACATATCTTTTGTCTTATAGAAGCTTCTCAGTTTCGCGAGGTCCCATTTATTGATTATTGCTCTCAGTCTATGTACTGTTGGTGTTATATTTAGGAAGCAGTCTTGTGTTGGGATTTTGATGGGCATTGCATTGAATCTGTAGACTGATTTTGGTGAGGTTGCCACTTTTATTATGTTGATACCACCTATCCAAGAGCATGAAAGATCTTTCCATTTTGTGGTATCTTCTTCAATTTCTTCTTCAAAGACTTAGAGTTCTTGTCATACAGGTCTTTCACTTGTTTGGTTAGAGTTACCCCAAGATATTTTATGTTATTTGTGGCTATTGTAAAGAGTAATATTCCTCTGATTTATTTCTCAGCCTATTTATCATTTGTATATAAGAGGGCTACTGATTTTTTGAGTTAATCTTGTATCCTGTTGTATTATTGAAGGTGTTTATCAGCTGTAGGAGTTCTGTGGTAGAGTTTTTGGGGTCACTTATGTATACTATCATATCATCTGCAAATAGTGAAAGTTTGACTTCTTCCCTTCCAGTTTGTATAGCTTGGTCTCCTTTTGTTGTCTTATTGCTCTAGCTAGAACTTTGAGTGCTATATTAAATGGATATGAAGAGAGTGGACAGCCTTGACTTGTTCCTGATTTTAGTGGGATCACTTTGAGTTTCTGTCCATTTAGTTTGATGTTGGCTGTTGGCTTGCTGTATATTGCCTTTATTATGTTTAGGTATGTTACTTGTATCCCTGATTTCCCCAAGAAATCATGAAGGGGTGTTGGGTTTTGTCCAAGGCTTTTTCAGCATCTAATCAAATGATCATGTGTTTCTTTTAATTTCATTTTATTATTTACTGGGTTACACTGAGACGTTTTTATATGTTGAAGCATTTCTGCATCTCTGGGATGAAGCCCACTTGATAATGGTGGGTAATATTTTTTGATGTGTTCTTGAATTCAGTTTGCCAGTATTTTATTGAGTAATTTTGCACCAATGCTCTTGAAGGAGATTGGTCTGTAATTCTCCTTTCATAGTTGAATCTTTGTATGGTTTTGGTATCGGGGTAAGTGTAGTCATATAAAAATAGTTTGTCAATGTTCCTTTTGTTTCTATTGTGTGGAACAACTTGAGGAGTATTGTTGTTATGTCTTCTTTGAAATTCTGGTAGAATTCTGCACTGAAACCGTCTTGCCCTTTTTTTTTGTTTTGTTTTTTTGTTTGTTTTTATGAGACAGGGTTTCTCTGTATTGTTTTGGAGGCTATCGGTCCAGCCCGGCCTCGAACTCACAGAGATCCACCTGTCTCTGCCTCCCGAGTGCTGGGATTAAAGGCATGGGCCACCACCGCCCGGCGTGCCCCTTGTTTTTTGATTAGCAAAGTCATGTGACTTACTTGTGGCGCTGTTTTGCAGTAGAGATGTGGGATGCATGATCTTCATGTTTTTTTTTTTCAGGTAAACTTCCTCAGTGGTACCTGCTTCTTTCCAGTAGTAGAAACTAGTCCAAACACTTCTCCCTGCATCTCTTTTATGTCTTGTCAAAACACTGCCCTTCATACCTCCTCACTGCATGAATGCTTCAATTCATGGACTAGTGTATCTCACCCTGGCTTCTTGAGTCTGCTTTTAAACTGCCTATATACCACGTATACATAATCATGATCATTGAAAATAGTCTTTCCAGAATTTTTGTTTGGCCACTAAGACAGTTTGCAGACAGAGTAATGAAGTCTTACAGTAGATGAGGCTTTTGAACCAGTGTGTCCTTTGGATTTCATCTAGCTCAGTCCTCTGATTTCAGGGCACATGTAGCAGTGTGAAATGCTGGTGATGTTTTGATTAGTGAATGATGTTACTAAGCTCTCTCAGGATCCTCTAAAGGAATGTTTAGCATGTTCTCTGATTTTCTTTGTTTCCTTATTTGTGAAGATTGGAATATCCATCAATTAGTAATTCCTTCACCTGCAAATAAAGACTGTTGATAATGCTTTGTTGCATAAAGAAAGTTGTGATTCATCTTTATGAATCTGGGGTTGTGAGGATCCTTAGGGTTGGGTCCAGCTCACTGGGTCAGAAAATAAGTCTCTCTCTCTCTCTCTCTCTCTCTCTCTCTCTCTCTCTCTCTCTCTCTCTCTCTCTCTCTCTCTGTGTGTGTGTGTGTGTGTGTGTGTGTGTGTGTGTGTGTGTATGTATGTATTTTTCTACTTTCCCTCAGACCTAGCATGGTTTTCTTTTGTATTAATAACTCCTATCCTACATTACATTACAGTTTTAGGAATCATGTTGAATGGGGAGAAGAAGTAAGCCTATGGGGCTAGAGAGATGACTCAATGCTTCAGAGTACAAATAGTTCTTAAGGTGGACCCAGTTAAATTCCAAACACCCACGATGGACAGCTTGTCATTGCCTGTAACTCTAGGAATGTCTCATGCTTCTGGCCTCTGCAGACACTGCACTCAGGCACATAGGTACACATATATACATAATTGAAATGAATCTTTTTTTTAAAAAAGCATAAGGTTATAAAACTGGTAGCTTCTCCTCCAAAGCCCAACTCTCCCACTACAAAGTGAACTCTCTCCCAGGAGCTACCAGCTTTCTTCCGTCTACTCATTTCTAGAGGATCACATGACCCATCCTAGTTGTGAGAGGGTTAGGAAAGCTGCTTTGTGTCTGACTTCAGAGTGGCATGGCCAAGAAGACAAACTTGAGAGTAGATTTGGACTGACCAAACAACAGTGTCTGTCAGAGTTGTACCTAGAATATGCATTCATCTGTATGGTCATTTCCAGAAAGAAAACATTTGCAGAGTGGATCCCATCGTCACCTTGCTTGGATTCAAATCAAAGCTTCCCTCCTAAGCATCTTGACTTTAGGCTTCCCTGCCTTTGTTTCCTTAGGAGTAAACAGTAATGGTAATATTACAAGTTTTTTATGTTTCGTGTGAATAACTTCAATAACTCAATACTTAATGAATGTTGTCAACAAAGTTCAGTGTCCTGCCTGGATGTAGAACAAACTGAGTGGCTAGCAGGCTTCTATGAGCAAAATGACTTGGAAATGGAGCACTTGAAGCTGCTGTATACAAACCTTTAACCTAACTAGAAAAATCCTGAAAGATACATAGTCTTAACAGCTTTTGCTTTTGCCTTCCTTTGTTTGGACAGCCTTATAATTGACATGCTCTTGTTTAGAAACAAAACACTGTAGGACTTATCCAGAGTCTTCATGTGTGGAAGTAGTGTGGTGAAAAGCATATTTTGACTAGAATGTATCAAATCAGGGATCTGTAAATTTCAGTATGTCTGTGCAACAGTTCTAGATAAGTGACTTACACAGAAACAGTGCTGTTAGGGCGAGGATAAAACAAACGCCTCTGCAGTGTTTTCAGCAATTAGAAAAAAATCATAGCACGGGAGAGATGTTGGGGGAGGGGCAAGAAAGGGGCTATCTGAAACATAGAAGGCATTCCGTAAATAGCCAGTCACAAAAGAAGTGTAGAATGAGAAAACCATCAGAAAGCAATTCCATGCTCTGCAAGCCTCATCTTGTTTCCTAGTAACCACCCTTCATAGCATGAGAATGAAAACTGGCTGATCCTAGAAGAGAAGCAATAGAAATGCAGAATGGCTTCTACTATGTATTACTGCCTTGCAGGGGACTAGCAGGTGGATTCTGCATGGAAGGACTATTCAGCTGACCCTTCCAGAATTACAAAGAAGGGGTGACTGAAGTCCAGGTCACATGCGAGAGTCTCATGTGAACCAGAGGTCACAGCTCCTCCTGCCCAGAAGACCACCCCTCTTCCCATTTGGGCATGTGCATTTTGCACGCATGGCTACTCTATCCAGTATATTGGCATTCCTCACAATCCAGAACAAATTGTAATAAAAATTCTAGCTTAATTTCTTGTCGCAGTGAGGCATCATCCTGCAGTTATGAGTACTCAGGTAATTTGTCAGCTTGGGATGAAGTCAAGTGTTCAAAAACCTCTCATGTTATGGCTACACACAAGCCATTGGGAACTGTACTAACTACACTTCTCTGACTTTTGCCTTCAGAAAACCCGTTATGAGATTTATGTCAACATTCTGAAAGAAGGAGGCAAGGAGCTCCTGAGTACTGAGGGAAACGAGGCAGTGGGACTAAAGAAGTCACATTCAAGTCCTTCCCTGAACCCAGATGCATCTCCCGTCACTGCCAAGGTCAAGCGCAATGTGTCAGAGAGAAAGGACCACCGACCTGAAACACCGGGCATTAAGCAAAAAGTTACTTAGAATCCATCCACGGCCAGGAAGTGCTGGTCATGGAGCAAAATAGAGTTTTTCAAGATCTTTCTGGTAATCCGTGAATATATTTAAAAAATAGTCTGTGACTAAATGGTGCATTAGTAACCTTTTATATTGTAAATTTTTGTTAGTTTCTGTACATATGTCTTTGCTCTTGAGTTCTTGCTTTGATGATTTGGGCAACTTTATAACTAATGCACCTTTTGTGAGGGGCAGAGGATTGCAGTCCTTTCTCCTTCAGCTTTCTCTTATTTGCACTTCTGCACAGTTATTTTATGTATTCCCAGTCAACTGTTGTACTTTTTTTTAGGTTTAAATTTCAATCCATTGTAAAACACTTAACTGGACAAGCATTGTGCTTTAGTAAATCCTAGACTTTACATGTGAAATCCTGCCCAGTCACGGAGGTGAAGTTGAATGCTCATAGATGCTCACGTACAAACAGCAGTGCTGGGAGTCAAGGTGTCCCAGGGGTGCACTTGGGCACTCATCCTGGCACCTGGTGTTCAGTGCTGGGCACAGGAGGAGGGGACATGACGATGACAGGGCTGGAGGGAGACCTTAGGGAGGCACAGGACTCTGCCTCACCTGTGGCTTCCATCCCAGCAGATGTGGAGTCATCTTGCCTGAAGGGAGGCTGAGGGTGGATTGATACCAAGCTCCTTCTGTTTTTCTAAAGGATGGTGGCAGTAATCAGCCCTTTGGGAGCTGCGAGCTAAAGCAGTAGGGTGTGTGGTCTTCCATAGGAATGTGTTACCTCACTCCCATGGGGTCTAAACTAGGAATTGGAATCATCTCTGTCATTGATGCCCTTCCCGCCAGGAATAGATCTATTTTTGCATAGATGTGCAGGCACAGATCATGTCCTGGTTGAAACAGAGCAATGTGGAAAATGGATTGCCCATATTTTTTCTTTGCTATGACAGGACAAATAGGGAGCAAACACAGCTTCAGTTCCTCATCAGGGGACAGTGACCCTTCAGACCAAATCTGAAGTCAGTCTGATCATAGTGACTGAAGATGGAGGAACTTGATGATTTGTGTGCAGTTCCCTAGCTTATCCTCATCTCCATCTCTATAGACATCTTACTCTGTCACTATTAAGATTGTTTCTGAATTTATTTGTATATGTTTGATCTCACTTTTTCTATGTACTCAAAATGGCTTCACCTTACAGTCAAACAGTCCCTTCAAAATTCAAGGTATTAAGTAGAATATTGCCTGTAGAGGAAGAGAAAGGAATATAAAAGGTGAGATTCCTCTATGGCTGAAAACTCAGGTTTCCAACCTTGAAACTGTATTCTCTAAAACTACTATACTCCCAACAGCATATCTTCAAAACTAACAGGATGACATTTGGATATTCTTTATCATCCTTAGACATTTGCTCTATTTCTACTTGGTTAGTTGAAGGTACTATGACCAGAGAATCAGCTGCTCTTGCATGAATAGTATGATTCCAGTAAGTTAGAGAAGCCTGTTAGAAAATCATGGTAGTTTATAGAGACATATCATTAGGATATAGTAGCATTTAGTTACAGGAATAAGTGTTAACCTCTACTTCTTTTCCCTTGTGTACATGTCCATCTTGCTTGTGCCCAGGAATAGTAACTCCTCTCCAAAACTAGATGCTTGTTTCATGGTATTTTGCCACCTATTGAAAAACTTCCTTTAACTTCTATCTTGTTTAAGTAAGTCGACTTAGTTTATATTTCAGAACCATGAAGCTAACATGGGTAGTTACCATTTTGCTTCATGTACCTGAACTGCTTCATAGCTTCCTACTGAATCCAATATTTCCTGAGCAAGTTGCCTTTCTTCTGGAAGGTGAATTATCACTGTCTTCTTTTTGCTAAGTATTTGTAGTCCCTCAAGGGAAAGAGGTACCAAGACCCTTGAGTCTTGAGCATCATCTTTGAGCATCAGTAGCTGAAGAACAGTTAACATGTTTGAATGTGTTTGTCCACAGTGTATGTCTACATGTGTATAGAATGTTTGTGTGTACTTACCTAGAATATCTAATATACATTGAATGGTACCTTGCTGCAGAGTTTCTGGCATGGAGAATGATCTGGGAATACCCTTAGCATCAGCACTGCCACTGTTCCTATTACAGGATTCATAGTGTTGGCTCTAGAACTTATGGTCATGCTTATAGATAATCAGAAGGCAAAGGCACTTTTGAAGCTGTAAACTATGGTGTCAGCATAATTTATCTGGAAAAATAACTATAACATTCTTCTGTGAGTTAGAATCCCAGCCTGCCCTAGTTGAATGCTGTCCACCTTCCAGGGATGGGGTCAAAATGTGCCTTCCCTGAGGCCAAGAATGTACAGCAGGCTGCATTTGTCATATGGTAGAAACACCTCTGACCTGCTGGGACTCTGAGATTCTGGTTCATGGCCAACCCCATTCCCCCACACTATTGAGTCATAAGAAATGGAAGGTGGTCCTTTGGACAGCTACTTAAACCTGTTGCCTGGTGCACGGTACAGGGAGCTCTCCTCCCCCTCCTCCATGGTACTTCATCCTACCCCACCTATGCCTACTTTCACCCCTACCTCAGTGCCCTGGAGCCTTGGAGTTCCTCTCCATATGATAAAATACTATCTACCTTCCATTAATACCCTTAGTAATGATTTTCAGTGTATAAAATCTCAAGTCATCAAACGTCTTTGATGATAGTCTTGTTGCAAACTGACCCTGCATAAAATCTGTGTGTGTTGTGAGGCTCACCCTACCCCACATGCTGACTTCTAGAAAGGTTTGCCAGGAACCCCATTTAAGAGATTAAAATCTTGTTACTACCACTCAGAGTTCTTGTTTTATTGGTATATATTGTCATTTCTGAAATGTACTTTAAAAATATACATCGTTTACCTAATTCTTAGCAGTGTCTAATTAAGGCAAGTATTACTTATATGCATTTCAACCAGTCACAGTGAGATCAGCATGTGGGGAAGTACTCTGCTAGAAACACTATATATGTAGATTCTAAAAACTGCTCTTAGGGAAATAAGATGGAGCCATTTCTCATGCAACAGTCTTGTGAAGTTTGTAAGGCACTCTCTGCCCTTCCATTTGTGTCCCTCAAGATGAGGACCATTTTCCAGGAAATTGTGAGGGCATTGATTCTGGAGGAGGACACTCTGGCTCTGCTGCCACCTGCCCTTTCTCAGATAAAGAGCAGGGATGAAGGGCCCTGATGGGAATAAGGAAGGACCATCCTCAGGTGCACATCTCATCTGCCTTGTTGACTAGAAGTCAGTTTCTCCTTTGTCTTCTCAAACGAGAGAGACCTTACATGAAGTTAGCTGAAGATGAAATTTTAATTCTTTGGCATTGTTTTCTAGTAGTCATCAATTAAGCCTCACTTGACATTAAATTTCTTAGTTTTGAACATCCAAGTTTTTGTGGTTTGGCTTTTATGGATGCAAGATTTTATCAGGTCATTTAGCTACCTTCCTGGTTTTATCAGAGAATGATACCTTTGTAAGTTCAGATAACAGTGTGTTCTTCACTAGTAAAGTTCACACTAGACCCATTAGAATTGCCACATCAGGTACACCTAGACTCTGGTTCAAGAAGAATAATGTAACTCGAGATTCAAGTCATATCTGCTTTTGTTTCAGAGCATCTGTGTTACTCAGACAGAAAAAGACAAGTCAATTTAGTAGGCAGAGGATCTCCCTTGCTCCGGGGCCTGTTACGTTCATTCACCCAGGCCAGGCTGCTGGTGAACCTCTAGAGCAGCAGAAAACCCCCACTCACTTTTGACATCTGCTATCATCATGCCATCCAGAGGACTTTCTCAGTCCACTTAAAATAATCCCTGAGGTATTGCAGAGGTACTTTGTCACTGCGTATCCTTTCAGACTCCCTTTCCATCCTTCACACTTAACGGGACTGACATCCGATGTCATTCTCATTCTGCATCTGTGGAGTGGGCATCTTCCAACAGTCAGCTCATTGCATGTGGAAAGAATGTTAGGAAATACTTGAATCTGCATGGCAGTTTGCTGGTTGTACGCAAGAGCAAGGAATACAGCAAGTTACTTGTACATACAGTAGGTTTCCTTAGGTCTTGTGGACACATCCTTCGTAATTTATATGTATATCTGTTGTATTAAAGTATTTGGGGAATATTTGTATAGATAGTATGTCACATGTCCAAGGAAATGCTTTCTGTCACCCGCTAATGTTGTATTTGTGGGTATTTATAGTTGTATGTATGTATGTGCATCAATGTGTAGATTATGTATCAGTATATGGTATATGTATGTTGAAATTATTTTTGTCTTTCAAAACCAGTATAATATGAAAAGAACATTTAAAAACCTCATAGGAGTGATTATATAGTACAGTTGTTGAGAGTTCATATAGTGGTATTGTTTTATTAAACTTAAATTCAAATGATATTTTATTAAATTTTTTAGTAAGACTTTACAATAGAAAATTCCATCTTTAAGCTTTGAATTACCAGGGCAAAAATGACTTTGAACTACACTTGTGAATCTATTGACATGTACAGTGTGCAATACAATGAGAACTCATTATAATTTGGGAAATACAGAAGTGGGGGGGGGGAGCCAGCCTGTGCAGTCTTAGCAACTTTAGCATTAAGAACACTTAAACATAAAGTTGAACTGGCAACTTTGGGCTTATTACAAAATGTGATGCTTTTGAGCTCACGTTCTTTATTGTTGTAATTAGTCCAGAACACTACGTAGCTTTCCGAAGAACTCAATATGTACCCAGTGTATCTTTTATGTACCGGTGTATATTTTAGAGTAGATCGGTCACTCTCCTGGTGCCACATCCTCACCCTTATTGGAAAGGAATATCACAGACAATACTGAAGTCTATCAGGGCATCCCAAGATCGGGTACCGTATTCCAGGTTCGCAATTGCACAGGTTACCAGCTAGTGTCACAGGTAAAAGGACTTTAGGAACAAGTTAAAACTTTATTTAATATTTTTATACTTCAGTCTCTTTTCCTGACTCTCCCCAAAGAAGAGCCACTGGCCTTAGTTGTTTGACATTGTTGCTTATATCACAGGTGTAAATAATGACTAGAGACTACAGTTTTATTAACCAGCATGTTTGGTATGTTTAAAGCAGCGACTGGGTGTGTTCGAGTGAGTGCTTGGCTGCAGTGTCTTTGTTAGAACACGCTGCCTCATGTCTTCATGTCAGAGTCAGAGAATTGGAACTGTTGGGTCTGATACCCTCTTCAGCTCCAGGCTGCAGCCCCATATTGGTAGTTACAGCTGAGTTTTGTTTTTATTAACACTTCAGTCTCAAACTATTTTTACAAATATATATTTTTTTCGGGCTGGCTATGTGGCTGATCAGCAGGGCTTCTGCAGGAGTATTTCCTCCTAAGAATTACTTGTGATTTGCAGAAAACAGCCATGTGACTCAGAAATCACACAGAAAATGAGTAGTAGAAATAAGGTATAATTTAGGCCTTAGTTACTTGAAATGTTTGGATTTTAATATAAAGCCATGGAAGTTGTAAAGCCAAGTAATCATTTGACATGGAGAATAATGTTCACTCTAGAGAGTATATATGCACATTGAATTTTATGTCATTAGGATACTTTTTTAAGCTTTAGAAATATGAGTAATTAGACCAAATTGAAGTGGAGGGGTGCTGGCTGTTTTCCACTTGGGGTAGCCATGTCTGTGTTAAATCTTTTCCTAGGAGATTCAACGATTCACTGTCCTCTTAAGTATTTAAAAAGAAAATTGATATGCCTGGGACCTCATCTGTGTATGCAGAGAGAGAGAGAGAGAGAGAATGTTTAAAGTTATACAAATGTATAACATTGAGACATTGAGGGCCAGAGTAGTCTAAAGAAATGATGAATGGAGGTGATGTAAACTGTGTCACAGATGTGTTCCATGAGCCAGGGAACACTGATGGAGTTCTGGTGTTTGACTTTGAGAGGCATCACATTTTCCTGGTGGATCACTGACTTGAAGGCATTCTTATGATCTCTAGGCAGTGACTCTCCAGCCCTCTGAAGGTGATTCATTTAGGAGGGGAGTGTAAATGGAGAAGCCATATTACCTTCAGAGTCCCAAGTGTGGCTGGCCTGCCCTGGCTTTGAGCTGTGGGTGAGAGAGCTGGCATTGGAGAGTACTGAACAGCCAAACGCTTATCTATAGTGCAGGATCTTCAGGGTGAATACAGACAGGAACCCCAATCTAATGTACTTTTGCAGGGGAGCGTTCACCTTTCACTAGCAGTAATATGAAAATCAGTACCTTACCTAAATCCCTGAAAGCACTGGTGGATTGAGAGGACTTTGGGATTTCACTTAGTGTTTTGCCCAGCAGTCTACATATGCCTTTGGACTCACCTACAAGTCCCAGGCACAAGGCTCCATGAAGGACGACACAGCAGGTCTGAGGCGCTGCTCTGAGCCCTTGCCTCGGGCAGTGGAGAGCAGGGTGGTCTCCCCACTCTGGCGTGTCTCCATGGCCTTCCACTCCACTGGGGCTTCTGCTGGGTTCCGGGCAGTTAGGAATCCAGCTGTCCCAGTGGCTTGACCCTGTTCAGGCAAGATATCAGCTTCAAGAGTGACTCATCCATGGGAGAAGACACATGGGGGTAAAAAGACCCTCAGTTTGAAGCTAAGGTTGCATTTTGTCTTTTCAAGAAACAAATGGGCACGTTGAGTTCTGTTCAGTGTCAGCTGATATCTTTGCCTTTGCTCCCAGATTTCCAGAAATGGATGCTACTTCCTTTCTGTGGGAAGGGTCAAGGAACATAAAATTGCTCAGCAGTGCTCTGTTCACAGGAGGGTCGTTGAGCAAAGGCCAGCATGCCTCCCTACCTTCTCTTCTACCTCAAGTGTTTGGAATTCACTTCTGGAACAGAAATTAATACAAGAGTCCATGTTGTCAGCCCTGTTTCCTGTGGGATGCACATAGGATGGCAATTTGTATCTTTTAAGATAAAACAGGAGCTGGGACTTGGCAGCCTATTTTAACTGGTTTCTATTTACTGTGATTCCAACTGATTGGCAATGTATAACATTCCTTTACCTTCAAAGTTTTCTCTGCCAGTCATTTCTGTGTCACCACACTCCTGGTGTCACTTGTCCCTGCAAATTGCAAAGGTAATTAGTGACAAAACAGTAGCCTCCCCTTCTCAGTGGCCAAACTGTCAGCTTTTGCAGACCTGGGAAAGCTAGTGGTACCACACCATGTACTGAAAAACTGTTCCTTATCACACACCAGACTCAAGAAATGCCACTTCCAAATTGTGGCATTCATGGTGATAGTCTTTTGAATGGAACAGTAATTTATGTGGATATTGTTAAAGTGTTTAAAGAATATTTTGAAAATTAAGTTTACATTTTACAATTGCTTTATTTTTATTGAAATAATTGTATATAAATATTATCCTATTTCACTGTTATTAAAGTAAAGCTAAACCATGTAGACAGTAGGTCAACTGTATAGAAGCTGTGATGTATACAGTAAATTTCTCTATTGTGTAAATGGCCATGAATAGAACTGTCCCTGTGTTTTTATAAGTTGAGGGTATTTTGTTGTTTTATAACAACAAAATTTATTGCATTTGAAATGGTTTTTATGTAACAGAAATCATGCAAACAATGAAGGATTATAATATGGTATATGTAAATGTACAAACTTTAGAAAGAAATAAATGCAACAAATTTCAATAATTTTGGGAGAATGTTTTTATTTTCTTATTTATTCAAGTTGAACAATACTTTTCATAATGAGTATTACACTCTGTACCCGTCCATAAAAAGACAAGCACAGGGTGGGGGCATGGTTCGGTGGGTACGAAACTTTGTTGTGTAAGCATGAGGACCTTGAGTTTGAATCCTAGTGCTCATGTAAAAGCTTGATATGGCCGTGCTTGTGCTCATAACCCAGTGCTAAGGTGGGCTGAGACAAGATCACTGGGAGGTGCCGGCTCCCAGCCCCCATCTGCATTCAGTGAAAGACTGTCTCAGACATGAGGTGGAGACAAATGAAGCGGCATAGTCGACACCCTCCTCTGATGTCTACAGATGGACAAAGGCACATGTGTCTGCATGTATACACACACCCAGTCAGGCACAACAGCACATGTTTGTAACACCAACATGAGAAGGCAGAGGTGCGCAGATCTGCAGAGTTAACTAAATGGCCAGTCAAATGGGTGAGCTTCCAGTTCCGGGAGAGCCTTTTCAAGACATAAGGTGGAAAGCCCTTGAGAAGAAAAAATAAACACATGCAGACCTGTGACCCTCACACGTATCTGCACATTCACACATCAAGTAAATCACAATAAAATGACGACTGTAAGACACATACAAGATGGAAGAACTCCAGGGTGAAAAGATTTAACCTTGGACGTTGACTGAGGTGGTCTCCACTCCGATAGCTGATGCTAAGTGGCCTCCAGGAATGTCCGTGAAACTTGGTGTCATCCGTGTAAAGGCCTTAGATGTGTTAACCATTACAGCAAGGGAGGAGAAAAGAACTTCTTGAAGCAAATTCAAGAATTGTTTTCTCTCCCAGTGACGTCTTTTCAAAGTAAGTGTACAGTGTAGTTAATCTGTCCTGAAATGCTGACACTCATCTCCATAGCATTGCTCTGTTGTGGCTAGCGTGCACCTTTACGCTCCCTAAGAAAGCCTAGTGTAACTGAGGTCTATTGGTTTAGAAAATTAGATCCCACCTCAACTTCTGAGTATTGGAAACAACGTCAGGGTAGGAGGTGTGGATTTTCTAAAATCTGACAAGACTGGCTGTGTGCTGTTAACAAATGTATCAGTAAGAGGTCAAGACTTCTATGTTGTCCATCTCAAGAAAGAAAACTCCTTATTTGGAGTGTGAAGCTCAATCATGTGTTACATTGTCTGGCAGCCTGTATGTCTGTGGTGGTTATGATCTTACCATAGTGTCTGTATTGCACAACTAATATTGTAAGACCCATAGGGACTGCAGAGATCATTTTAAGAGTATTCCTAAGAGGAAACTAAAACCCAGGTCTAATTAAGATGCTGTGAGGAGCAAACAGAATCTCTGTTGTATTCCCAGATTCATTTTTTGAAATGACATTGGAAGAGACATCCAGAGGGACGGGGGAATCACTGTCAAATCACATGGAAAAAAATTGTCAACAAAGAACCAAACCTGGTTAAGAACAAAGAAAACAATATTTTATTGGGACTGAAATCTAAAAAACACAGATTCAAGCAGCCTTGAATTTTGCTTCAAGGTTGTATAATTATAAGATGGTGGCCATATTTGTAGCTTTAAATCTCAGGGGTTTGGAAGTTTGGGCCAATGCTGACAAAGTTAAACTGTATTGCTAACTAAAGTATTGGACTTGGTTTTATTCACTAGGAAGTTTGGGGAAGGATGGCAGAGGTTAACTGTATACTAAAGGCCACCTTAGATGTGGGAATGGACATGTCTGAAACCAGTTCAAAGGTATACCCCCCAAAATTCATGCGATCGCATTAAATGGCTTCCCAACTCTTAGTTCATGCCACTCTACTTTTATTTTCTTCCTTGACAGTGATTAACATGAAGACATATTAGAGAAAAATGTATAGGAGTGTATGTCTGGGTGATGGCTCCGTCAGTAAAGCTAACAGACATGGAGATCTGAGTTCAATCCCTCAGAACCACGTGGACTGATCTGAATGGGAAATGTCCCCTGTAGTCTAGGCATTTGAGCATTTGGCCCTTAGTTCATGATGATGATTCAGGAGGTTTCATAGATGCAACTTCATTGGAGAAAGCTCTTCACTGTGGGGGCGGGGGAAGGCTTTGAGAGTATATGGCCTCACCCCGCCTCCAGCTTTGTGCTTTTGGTTAAGATGTGAACTCTGAGCTTCCTGCTCCTGCCACCATGCCTGGGGTTGCCATAATACTGCCCTGCTATGACAGGCTCTTCTTATTTATTTGTTTGTTTGTTTATTTTTGTTTTTATTTCTTCAAGGTGGGTTTCTCTATAGCTTTGGAGGCTGTCCTGGAACTTGCTCAATAGACCAGGCTGGCCTCAAACTCACAGAGATTGCCTGCCTCTGCCTCCCAAGTGCTGGGATTAAAGGCATGCGCCACCACCACTCAGCCAAGACTCTTATTCCTATGGAACCATAGCCAAAATAAATTGATAATTTGCTTTTTTGTTGAGGTGTTTTAGCCCAGCCATCAGAAAGTGACTAATGTAAATATGCCTGTATCAGTGATGCCAGCATTGCCAAGGCAGGAACGGGAGGATGCCTCCAGCTCTCTTGACAGCCTGTGTAATCGCTGTGCCCCGGGCCAGTAAAAGACAGTGTTCCCGAAGATAATACTAAAGGTAGTCAGTCACACATCCTCCATGTGCACGTGTGTACTCACAGAAAAGCAAATGCACACACACATAGATGAAGCCATACATCAAGGAAACTACTCTGTGCTGTAGACCAGTAAACTTGAACCTCACTCTGGGCTTATCTTCAGATAGAAAGCAAGCAGCAATTATTTGAAGTCAGAACAGTCTTCCAAGAAGAAATTATATTAGACTCGATCTTGTATTCGGTAAGTTTGGTAGATTAGACATGTGCAGTAAATAAAATATCAGGCCTTTAAATGAGGTAACATGGTCTTTGATGAGATTTGCCCTGGTAAAATGAGAAGTACAATCCACACACTCACACTGTTGGTGGGCGTGCAGCCAATTAAATAGCACTAATTAAAGGATCCCCAACAACTTGGAGAGGCATCTCCAGTGTCCTGCTGCAAAGCCTGCCTTTGGCCCCATCTGTTCACCATTTTAATTAATAACTTGGCAGAAGCTACAGAGGCAAGTTTGTGAAAAATGGGGATGTCATAAAGCTAGGACAGGATGATTATACTAAATGACAGAATCGGGATTCGAAAGGATCTCATCAGTCAAAGAAATGGGGCAGATTAACAGTGTGATGTGGGAGAGTGGAAAGGGGCTTACATTGAGTTTAGAAACAGGACCGCACAAGGGCAAGCTAGGACTTTGAGTAGCATAGGATAGTGACTACACATGGCAGAAAGTCGCCAGCTTCCAGCTCAGAAAGGGCAATGGAAGTCCAAAGATGCTGCCACCAAAAACATCTGGGCTTCATTTCTGTGTTTGGTGTCTAAAGTGGAGTAGGTGGGTCAGATGCTGTTGACACCAGGAAGACCAAACGGGGTGAACTGTCTACAGACCGGCACATTGACATGGCAGAGTATGCATAAGTAGTAGCTAGACATTAAGAGCTGTGAACTATGCCATGAGGAACACGGGAAGAGTGTGAATGGGAGATGGAAGACAGTCCATGACAGGATGAGAGAAGGCTGCTTTAAGTGTTGGAATGTCCTGACCATCAGGCCACGCCAGCCAGGGAAGCAGGTAGGTTAACTGCAGATCTTCCAGTCTCCCTCCACTTCCTCAAACCTATCTCCTGAGTCTCCCTTAAAGCAGGCAACCTGTAGCATTCTCCCTTTCTGCTCCCTTCTTCAGTAAACCACACAGAATTACCCCTACGAACGTTCTTTCCCCCACTTACTGCTGTATTCTAACCCTCAAATCTAACAGCCATGCCCTGGGAACCTTCAGGCCAATTAGGTCAGCAAAGCACCTAAATTCTTCCACTCTCCTGTCATCCTCCATGCTCAAACCCCAAGTCTCTTCCTCAGCTCTGTAACAGACCACTCACTTCAGCCTTGGCTCACTCTGCCCCATCCCCAGGGAACTAAGCTGATCCTCATGGAACACCCTGCTTTCCTCCCTCCTTTGTACCCCCTCCATCTCCCTCTCCTAACCCATTCTTAATCCTAAATGTCAGTTTCCAGAACCTAGAAACACACTGTACCCGGAACCCCCAGTGTACATATCTATCAGGATCCAGGAAGAATTTCCTTCCAGGCAACACACAGTAATCACACTAAGAAGACAACAGAACCAAGAGACAAAACAGCCACCCAACGAAAACAAGGTTAGATATCATCACTAGAATGACATCTCCCCGAACCCACATGCCTAAACTTCAGCATAACAAACACAATCAATAACACCTAGGACAATATGTCTCTCCTAGAGCCCAGCTATCCTACCACAGCAGTCCCTGAGTATTGCAACATAGCTGAAGCACAAGACAAAGACCTTAAATAGCCTTTATGAATATGATATAGTGCTTACAGAGGAAATGTATAAATGAATCCAGTAAACAAATTCAAGAAACCAGTTAGTAAAAAGAAATGAGTATAAAAGTTCCAGAAATAAAAATACCTGAATAAAATAAGACCTGAAAGTGGAAAAAGAAACAAAAAAGAAAACAAACTGAAGAAAATCTGGAAGGAAAAAAATTTAGGAACTGGAACAAGAATATCAGAGGCAGCAGAATCCAAGAGTACAAGAAACAAAAGAGAAAATCTCAGTCATTGAAGACAAGCTAGAAGACATAGATACTTCAATTGAATAAAATATTAAGCCTAAAAATTGTTCTGGCACAAAACATGGAGGAAATCTTGGACATTATGAAAAGATCAAATCAAGGGATAATAGGACTAAATAAAGGAGAAGAAACCTAGATCAAAGGCAGAGAAAATATTTTCACCAAAAACAGAAGAAAAATTCCCTAATCTAAAGAAGGACATGCCTAGAAAGGTACAGAAGCATACAGAACACTAGTCAGGACTGAAAAAGTCATAATAGTCA